AATAATGAATGGAACAAAACTCTCTCTCTCTCTCTCTCTCTCTCTCTCTCTCTCTCTCTCTCTCTCTCTCTCTCTCTCTTGCGTGCGCTAATCTCATTGCTTTGGCTACCTTAGGGCTGCGTTCCCCGTGCCCACGCAGTAGATAATTAGTTTAGTCGGACGTTGGCCAAAAATTAAAATTTGAGGTCCTTGTCCATGACATTCCAGGTTATAGCTCAGCACAAAAGGGTCCCCCCTATGTGTTGAGCATATGTGCGTTGCCCATCGTGGCGCTCTGCCTAGAGTCTAGAAGCGCCGCAAGGGTCGAACGACTCATCTTTTAGCCGTTCAATATTACGAAGGGTTTTTCCTTCACGATGTATCATCTTTGACACTTGAGTGTTGTATGCAACGCTGATTCCTGTAGAGGATCGAGCGATTGTGGGTAATCATGAAGCGTCGTCATTACAGTTAATTGCGAAAGTTCTCATAACTAAATATTATGCCTTTCCTCGCTCGAGCGTTTCTCTTAAACGTGTCCGAGTGCGGATTACGTTTAGAGTCTGACATATAATCGGTTATGGGTCGAACTCTGCTACTGGAACAACATGTGACAAAGTCATTTTCTTTGCGTGCGATGGTCTTAATCGACACACGCTCGCGTTTTATATAGGTCAGACCTATAAGCGTTTACACAAGTATGTGGGTGCGAAGGTTGCACTTTCCCCCCCTTATTTTATAGTTATTTTGGTGAAACGATAAAGTTCCGGGCGGAAGGGTTAGCGTGTTGTCGGTGGCGCGGCAGACAACTCAGCACAACTCAAAATTTTCTTTTGCCCTCGATGCCATCTTACCTCACACCATATGGGGCACCGCAAAATGCGGAAGATGGCAGGGTGTTCAATCCGCTTTTGCGCTTGCTAAAGGATTGACCCCTTCAGCGTGCTCTTCAACCGACACATGAGCATCGAATGTGATCCCATGACTTAGTGGGGCCGCACCTTTTATGGGCACTACATTGTACTCCATCATTTCGACTGCTCATGTGTTCATGCATGGATGGTCATTATGATAGAGGTTTGTGAGGCAACATCCTATTTATGCGAAACTTTGCGTGTGACGTCCGTGCGTTTCGATCCAATAAAAGTTACGGGTCAAATAGAAAAATGGGCTAGACGCGATATTGCCAGTAGGAACGAGTATTTTTTGTTGGAAATACTCGTATCGTGTGGTTAGAATGACCGTCTTAGTCGACCGGCGCAGGGTCGCGCTTGAGAGATTAATGCCTCGAGCAACGATTCACACGTGGGTCCGATTCGGGTGTTAACCATGCGTAGCCCCTATGCTACAACGAACGAGAAACGTCCTTGGCCGAGCCACCTCTGCAATGGCATACGAAAACCCTTCGTATTTGATTCGATAGCTCGACGGGGATACGCCCACCCAAAGGATGGTGACAACTCCCGCGGGTAGAGGTAAGCAGTGCCTCGCGTGACCCTATCCTGTCGTAGGGGCTCACGAGAGGTACAAATGCCACACTCGGCCGGAGCGGTAAGACACTCTACGCAACAAGTCCTCCCAAATCCTGTGTAACGGAGCTGGGAGGGTCCCACTGCGGGACTGATGCGCTCGACAACGGGAAAAATACATTTTCGAGTGAGTGACAAGAATGAAAAAAATCATGACTTCAACAAAGGTCACTAGTAGTGCGAGTAAGGTCGGATACTCGTCCTTGTAGATAGTAAATCGTAAGCCACACATTGATTGGAAGGAGATTTTTTTTTTTTTTTTTTTTTTTTTTTTTTTTTTTTCTTTGCAAATTGTGTGGGAAAACTTGAAGCACGGCCATGGAGGCCGAGTGTGATGGGTATTTATGGGGGGGGGAAGTTCACCCGCTACAGCTTGAGCAAAACAAAATGGAAGGTCTGTGATGTGTGTATTGAGGCGTGCCCTTGTCATGCGGTTATTCTGTGAGAATACAACTATGACCATATTGCTATTTGAATATTACCAGGGGTTGCTCCTATAACTCAGTTACAAAATTTCCCGCCAGATGGTTTTCTAAAACACAAAGGGGCTCGTTCCACACCACTTGACACTCAAGGGTTTCTTGCGCAACACCGTTCCACAATACCCTTGAGTTTCGCTAATCACGGCCCGACGGTTATTCGCAGCCCTTAGGCTGCGGTATAGTGGCTTCCGCGTCTGTGTCAAGGTGTCGCATTTTTTACGGCGGGCGACCAGGCCGCAAAGTGGGTTCTTAGGGGGCAAAAAAAATTGGGGGACCGGTCCTTGCCAAAATTGCGGACTACCTACAACTAGCTCTGGTAGAACCGGGACTTTTGGAAAAACGAAGGACTGGTCCTCGGGTGGAAGTGGACCCCAAAAAGAAGTGGGGGGCATTGGACCGGTCATTGGGTAGAAATAGACCCCAAAAGGCCCTCAGGCCTAGGCGTTGAGCCCCGTCTTCTCAAAACAGGGAGGTCAGGCACAACGAAACAGGCGTTTTGCAAGAGGCAACTTTGGCGATTTTCTGTGCTAAGACGAACATGCACAAAAATATGAAATTTTAAGAATCCATAGATGAGGTCGTGTTCTTTCCAGAAATTATAATAGAACATTTACAAAAAATCATTTAGACTGCGAAATAATCGTCGTGCCGATTCA